AAAATAAACAGCAACAGACAGGCATACAATACTGCACAGGTTTGTTTGTTTGTTTTTAGTAGGGTTTTACAGCGCTCGCAAATGCATAAGGTCATATGAGCGCTAAGGAGTGGATGTCAACAGAGAAGTCCAAACGGGGAATCAGGTTTACTCTGCTCACCTCTCTAGCCTCAGCAGCACAAAGTCTGCTTCGACTATCCAAGGCACCCCGGAAATAGCAGTTCACAAGAGAGTGACAAACATACAAAAGAAATAGAGGAAAAATGACAATAGTAAGGATGAGGAAAGAAAAAGCAGTAGTTCCCCGTGTTATTCCGGCACAGTATGAGCTCGACAGTGATACTTCAGCCCATTTACAATTCTGCTGTGTATAAGAACAAGTTACTATCCCCCCTTTAAGAATGGCCTACTACACAGGTTTGAGTTCGAACCTGGTGGTCAGAGCCAAGGTCAACGTGACACGACCAGTCCGTCCAGCAAAAGCCTTCAACAGGCTCAAGGTCAACAAAAGGTTTTTATCTATAGAGCAGTGTGATACAACTCCAAATGTTACAGACAGGCGTTCACCTTTGCCACACATAAATCTCTGCACAAGTTTCTCAAATCAGCACAACAAAAATAAAAAAAATAAAAAAACGACACAAAAAACCTTTCCATACGAACATATCGTACTTCTTCCATTTAAATTGGAAACAACGACACATCCATCCACTACTTCTAGCCAGAGATTGATGAAGTGGTTTTGAAACAAGCAACGTCAGAAGGCCTCTGCAATCATTGAGCTTCACAAAAAGTTACCCTCCACATTATTTCCATCATTTGTTAATCAAACACTTCATACACACTCGGCCGTTTGATGACATGACAATAAGTAGCTCGATGACGTCTGCATGCATGATATACTCACTTACACTCTGGCAAACAGGCTCTGTCTCAACAGAGGAGTATGAAGAAATAAGACGACCATCTGACTCAGGATGTGATGAGTACAGGGGGTGGGTAGGAAAAATGCTTTCCCTTGAACCGACACTGAATTTAGTCATCATTTCTTCATACATAAGTAGAATTTTTATGCATAGAAATTGAGAAAATCTCTTCTAAAAGGCAAAAACCGTATGCAAAAAAAAATCCAGAAGTACTTTCAGTAGTCAGATGTTGCAACAATGATTGTTCTCTCTGTTTCTATCTTCACACCACTTTTCTTCACCGTCAAGTTTCTTGACATCAGTGAGTGTCAGACGTCAGTGAGTGTCAGACGTCAGTGAGTGTCACTGACACCGTCTTAGCCAACATCAAAGATAGTACATAACAAGATGGACCACTCAGCCAAAAAAGTGTCCGCCGGAAGTTCGTTCTTTGCTTCAGATGGCGCTGCAGTCTGTTTGGAAGCTCTCTTTCGTTTCTCCAGAAGAAGAATAGGAATAGCACTTCCTTGCGTGCGTAGATCGACTGCTGTTCATCAACTGTTCGGGTTCGTTCAGTGCGGAGTTTTAGTTTTTTAAAATTTTAATGACCTCTCGCCTTTCATTCAAAAGTCAAATTAAACAAAGAAAACAGTCACCCCTTCCTCCAGAAAAGTTTTTTTGTCAGCGTAACCATTTTAAAAAGGCGTTCTTCCGAAATTTGGATTCTTATTTATTCAAAAACTTGTTAGTTTCACTTTGATTTTTTAACACAAGTAGGGTAACTCTGATCGCAAAGGGTGCACATTTGCGAAGAGGGCGCCACTGAAATTTGAGGACACTTTTTTAATTGGCTCAAAGAGAGGAGTGTGGACCCTCTTGTTATGTAGACTCTTTGCCAACACCATGGGAGAGAAACTGCAACTTTTCATCGTTAGTGTTAAATGTAGAGTTAGAGCGCTTAAGTTAAGGCAACAGAAGAAACCTCACTTTGCTAATCAGAGATAAGAACCCTCTATCATCTGGCCAAACTTCATCACGGTCAGTTAAGAGTTGTACAATTAGCCAGGGACCATGTGGGGGGGGGGGGGGGGGGAGGGGGGGCGAGAGAGAGAGAGAGAGAGAGAGAGAGAGAGAGGGGGGGAAGTAGAAAGACTCTACAAATACTGTCAATAAGTACATGTCGCGTACTTTTTGATGCTGCCCAGTGTTTGAACATCGCTCGTTTCTCACAGGAAGAAAACAAAAGACATCAGCGACTCGTTCGCACCCTGATCAAAAATGTGCATTGCATCCATCCATCCATCCATCCATCCATCCATCCATACCAAAGACAGTAGTAAATCGTAAGACAGCCAACCGTTTCTCAATGAACCCTTGACCCCACCCCCCCAACACACACACACACACCGACAGAGATGACACAGCTCCAGTAACAGTCTGGGCTATGCTGGTATTTCCCAGTATCCCCCAAGTCTTACAACGGGTGCCTATTGGCATGATCGGGTCGGTTTGCAAGCCAGATTCACGGTTATCGTGGCAGAAACCAATCGCCTGACACGGCGCCTAAAAAAACAAATGCGTTTGTTTCCAGGCGGCGAGTCGCGCGATCGACCATCCGACCAGACCCCATCCGCAACAGGCACCCGGTCTTACTGTATTTCCCAGTACCCCTTTAAGTCTTCCTGTTGTATTTCAGGATTAGACTCGTATGAGGCTCTACAATCATTCCCTTGTAGTTGCCAAATCTTACAACCAGGTACAGTATAACACGGGTAGATCGAACACAGAAGACTCGAAATCCCACATCCGTCGAACTGTGCCTGCAGTCCCATTTTTTCTCTCTTCTTTATCTTTGTAAGATATCCCTCGGACTAAAGAGGCTGGTCCCGACAAATTCGAGCTATGCGTGTTATACTGTCATGTGTTTAGTCTAGGAACAATCTTTCAGCCTTCATGCGCTGAAAAACTCCCAATAAGAAATTTACACAAAGCTGAAAAGAATCTTTTGTAAGCTGAACTACAAAAACCACACCATCATTACATAACCTTTTACAAATTAAATAATATTTTTTCTCGGATGGGGATGGCAAGAGACAGAAAATGACTTACATTTATTGACAGAAAAAACAGTGACAGTTTGGTTCCACATCTAAAAAAACCCCTTTCACCAAACTGGTAGGCAGTACGCCAGAAGGTGCCAACCAAACATTTGCCGATGTCTCTGTCTCTGCGACTACCAGCAGGACCACTCTATACAGGGTTCATACTGAGCAGGAGATTTTTTTTCCCCAAGACTTTTCCAAGAGTTTTCAAGACCAGATTTCTTTTTTCCCCAAGACTTTTCCAAGAGTTTTCAAGACCAGATTTCTTTTTTCCCCAAGACTTTTCCAAAAGTTTTCAAGTTCAGATTTCTTTTTTCCCCAAGACTTTTTCAAGAGTTTTCAAGACCAGATTTCTTTTTTCCCCAAGACTTTTCCAAGAGTTTTCAAGTCCAGATTTCTTTTTTTCCCCAAGACAAATAACGTGTCATTTCGGAAGAAAATTTGTTCTGGTGTGGTATTTTAAAAACATTCAGAATGCGTAAAGTCGAAGCCTTTTAAACTTCCGAGGAAATGTTTTTTAGAAAGATCTAGTTAAAATGTGTTTTTCCAAGACCGTTGTCAATTTTCCAAAATTCCAAAAATTTTTCACGTCTCGGAAAATAACAACAAAATTCCAAGAGTTTTCCAGTTTTCCAAGACCGGTATGAACACTGTCTATAAATGACAGCATACATTTCTTACTCGAGTACATTGAACCTCGTATCCGAAGATCCAGAGATATCCACATCGGTGGGATCTGAGCCAACGTGTGCTGGGTGGGAGCTGCCAGCAGAGGTGTGGAGGAAGTGCCACTGTCAGAAGTTTTTGTTCGGGCAGTCTACAGTGAAGGACTCAATTTATCGCAAGCGGGTCTGTGGGAGGAAATATCCCACTGTCTAAACAGACCCTTGCAATATTATGCAGTTTGACGGAGACTGATGCCAGCTATTCCTTTAGGTTGGGCATAGGCATAATGAAGAGTGTGCGAATAAAACCCAGTCAGCATGCCTTCGAACATCCTAAATAAATAGCTTATTGTGAAAGAAGCTCTAAAAAATGTGTCCTTGTGCACTGTTTGCTCCCACATAATTCCCCAATTTCCCAGGTTGTGTACAAAGATATGCATCGAGGAAGCTAGAGCTCAATACAGGAGGGGGTTAAAAAAAAGGATAACAACAATTAAGTCTGTATTTAGCGACCACAGTGTTTTCTTGTCCTATCTATTGAAAATGTGACTTCTTCTTAAGCTCACACTTTGTTATGAACTGTTTTCACTCTTATTAAAAATGGAGACAGGACAAGAAAGAACTGAGGTCGCGATTTGTTGTGGACACGACATTGCATTTCATGACTAGACATATCAGGCCCATGTCCCATCCTAACCCTGTATATATGTGTCTCAATCAACACTGACTTTCAGAAAACCGGAGGGGGTGGGGTGGGGGGAGGGGGAGTAGCTTTGTTCTTATTATATATCTACCAGAATTGCTCAAAACTGGGCAAAGTGTTCCTTTTTACATAATACAGTATCACCTCACCTAGTGTATTTACAGTAGTGAATAACATAATTTGAAAAAAAAAAAGAGTTTATATAGTATATAGTAGAGGGTTTTACAGCGCTCGCAACTGCATACGGTCATATGAGCACCAAGGGGTGGGTGTCAACAGAGAAGTCTTTACAGGGAATCAGACTTACTCTGCTCACCTCTCTAGTTTCAACAGCACAAGGTCTGCTTCGATTATCAAGGAACCCCAAAATAGCAGGTCACAAGGGAGTGACAAACATACAAAAGAAGTAGAGGAAAATGACAATAGTAAGGATCAGGAAAGAAAAAGCCGCAGTTCCCTGTTGTAGATCAGGCACAGTTATGAGCGTGACATGAGTCAGCCCATTTACAATTCTACTGTGCTTGAACGAGAAATGTCCCCCCTTTGGGAATGGCCTAAAGACACTACAGTCAGTGACATAATTTGGCAGATGCACAGATGATATACAATTGCTAAAAAAAAAAAAAAACCCACTCTGCCGTTTAATTGTCTACAGCAAGTATTGCAAGCTGATGATTGAACTTCTACATATATATTTAAGTATACATTGCATATGGCATGTACCAGAATTTTCCCACACGACCAACAAAAGTGGATTTTTCTCTTTTCCTTTTTGTTTCCACTTTTCAGCAACACCTTGGCAATCAGCGCAAACTAAGGACCAGACTCGACGAATTCATTGGATGCCAGGTTCACAGCACGTAGACTCACTGCCCCCTCATTTTTCAGGAGAGGGAGAGCAAAACGTATCATGTATAATATAGAAGGCCGTTCAATGAGGCATAAATTAGGAACACAAACAAGTATACGCCACCTAAATGTAAAAGCACTCATCCAAATATCATCGTACCCTGCACTGTTTTCTCACAACTGAAGACAATAAAAGAAGAAAAAAACCCACACAAAACCAACTGAGCTTCAACTGAACATAAGGTCAATAATATCCACAAAATAATTAAGTAGCATCAAACAAATTATGATATAAAAATTTACATTATATAGACATAACGAATATGTATAGCTTCACTTCACTTTCACACTACCCACAGGGCATGATATGTTTTTCCATTGCATGGAACATCGACACAGCCGTGTCAAAAAATGCTCCGACACAAGTGTCAAAAAAAGCTCGGACACTAAACCACATACAGGCAGCACACAACACACTTCTCTCTCCACACAACACACCACGCAAGACACATCACGCATGACACCTCATACATTAGACTACACATCACACATTAAACACACCACACATTACACGACACATCACACCTCAGCACCAAGGTCAAGGACGCCCGACTCGGCGATGGGAACGTAGTGGTCCTTCAGCTGCACTAACAGAATGTTCCTGTCCACGTGAGATCTCTTCACGGGGTCCGTGTGGCCAGGGGTCCAGCGGTGGACCACCGTGCCCTCCATCCCCTTCTTGGGCGTCCACTCCTTCCACCCGTTCTTCCCTCCGGCCGTCTTCCAGTCCTCGTTGGGCCACTGGACGTCCACGCGCCGGCCCAGGTTGATGCAGTCGTAGATCAGGCTGGGGTCCATGATCTGGAGACGAAAAAAAAATAAAAATGTTTAAATAGCCCCATAAAAATGTGCTCATACGAGAGCTAAAACAAAATAGATATTTTAATATAATCAGTGATCCCTGTAAGTTCAAAGCTTCTGTGTTTGCAAGTCAAAAAAGGTGTGGACTTAACCCTATTATTACTGGCATGTGCTGATTAAATCGGCACTTTCTTCACGGTCAGTCAGTCAGTTAGTGTTGATTTAATCGGCACTTGAGGAAATGCATCTTATATAACTCCAGTAATAAAGAGAGGGAAGAGAGCATTATTTTGTTTCCTTTTGACATGAAGTGCTTCCTATGTCTTTATAACTCTTCTAGAGTACCAAATTAAGTTTCAGGTGAGGACAAAAATGTCAACACAGATAAATGAAAGAGGTTGTCATGGATCCAGCATATGGAAAAAAAAGAAAAAGAAAAGAAAAAAAAGAAACAGTGCAAATCTAATCCTCCAGCAGCCGGCTTCATTGTGGAACTGGAGAGACTATAGCAAGACCTATGAAAGGTTCAGGGAAAAGCGGGTGTTATCACAAACTGGAAACCCTGAGGGTATCAGTTTTACTAGCTTGTGTACACTCATGACTTCTATCCTGTTTGACTTGTGGTTTAATGGCACTGCTAGCTGAACGGGAAATTAAACAACAATAATCCACCAATAGCTGAACAGAAATGCAGTTATGAGTTTACCAGCTCTTAAAATTGACACCCTCATGAATTACGGTTTATGGTAACAACACATTTGTCCGTTGAGCCCTTCACAAGCGCAGTCTACAACAGGGTAATTTTCAAGAGTTTTACGGCACTTGCAACACAATAAGATCATATAAGTGCTGAAGATTAGAGATGCTACAAGAGAGTAACAAACACAAAAAAAAGGAGGAAAGATAAAGACGACAGATGTTTGATAGGAAAGAAGGAGCAAACCACACCAGAGCACCCTCCAACAACCACCCACTCACTACGACAACCGGGTCACTCACCCGAACTCTGTGGGGCAGGTTGTCCTTGAGTGTGGACTCGTTGATCAGACTGGTGAGGTTTGCCAGCGAGGCCAGAGTGGTCACTTTGCTGGCCGAGGAGGCGGTGGAGATGAGGCTGCCACGGTTGCCCAGAGGCTGCATCGGAATATCGATGCCCAGCGAGGGCGGCAGATTCTGCCGGGGAGTGGAGCCTGAACACACAGCAGGAACATTGACTGATTGATTGATTGAGTAGGTGTTTTACGGCACTATCCACTCAATTTTGGTCATGTAAGTGCCAACAGGTCTTACTGCAACAAATCTAGGATCATGTCATGTTTTAGTAAGAGTTTTTCGGCGCTCGCAACTGCACATGTCCATATTATCACCATCATGCTAAAAGGACGGACAGACATTTATGAAATTTTTTGTAAATACAGCAGAAACAAATATGTTCGTGAAAAATATACATTTTATAATATTGTCTTAAAAAAAAAAAGTAACAGTTTTACGGCACTTGCAACACAATAACGTCATATAAGTGCCGACGATTAGAGGTGTTACAAGAGAGTAACAAACACAGAAAAGAAGCAGGAGAGATCAGGACGATAGGTGTTTGATAGGAAGGAAGGAGCATAATATTGTCTGTCGTGCTTCATTCTTTATCTCCAAGGGGGTAAATCCACTATGCCGGGGCCCCTTTTTGGTTCTAAATCTAAAAATGACAAAAACGTCGCTAAATTTGTAATTAAATCAAAACAATTGAACCTATTTCGATAGTTTTTCATTTAACGAATGAAATCCTGATCGAAAAATAATTTGATGTCGCAGTCGTCGTAAAAGAATGTGTCCCGAACCGCTGTCAGTGGCTCACCGGCACAGCAGTTCTGACCGGAGATATAAGAGTTAAGAGCCTACTTCAGAGTAAGGATTTATGCTATGTCAATGCAACAATAGTTCGACTGTCTGACGATGACCTACGAACCTGCAATAGAGAATACTTCTTAAAGAGATATAGAAGAAGTAAAGGATTAAGATGACTTGTGCCTTTAACTATAGCCAACAAGACTAATTCTGACCCATCTACATCGGAAAAATTCAGACACTACTTCACTCCTCTCTCTCTCTCTCCTTCCCTCCCCTCCCTCCCACTCTCTCTCTCTTCCTCTCTCTCCCTCCCTCTCTCTCCAAAAAATATCATAATTTACAAAAACAGCACAAAACTTACCGATGGTCGCTGCTGCCATCTGATGGCTCACGGTATACGCCCCACGGTCCGGCTCAAACGGCGCGCTCCCCCCGGCACACGTAGCGTCGCAGCGTTGTCGCAGCCTGCAATAGTAAAAGTCCCGCTCAGAGCGCAACACTAGCCTGCATTGACGAGGTAACAACACTTCAAGGACAAAAAAGGAGGGTAGTACTTTACTTTCACTCCAGCCTCATGCTCAGATATTGCAGAACACTTTTCTTGTTCATTTTTATCCGTTTTACACCATTTCAACTTTTTTCCTTCTTCGCAAATTATTAGTACATCGTTGTGTGTGTGTGTGTGAGTGTGTGTGTGTGTGTGAGTGAGTGTGTGTGTGAGTGAGTGTGTGTGTGAGTGAGTGAGTGTGTGTTTTTCAGGAGGGGGCATCCCTGTCTTTTCCCGTAGTTTAATGTTTTGCAATCAGGGTTGAGATTTTCTTGAAAACTATTGATTTGTGATGGTTTAAATGGCTATGTATGTTTGTGTGTGCGTTCGGCAGCCAAAAGTAATTATGTTAGGCCCCTAAGAGCACTGCATTGTGAGCAGGAGTGAAAGTAAAAATTTACCCGCAGAACCTCCACACCCCACCCCCTCCCACACACTTCTGTTTTATTCCTTTCTATGATATCTGGAAACTAACAGTCGTTGGTCACTGTAAGAACTATAGATTAACACTTTGCAGTCACACAGCCAGCTGTAAACAAAATACCCCATCTGGTCACCCAGCCAGGAGAGTGACTGCATCGGACTTCTCGGGCCTGGTCTGGCGCAAAACAGCACCAAGTGACACGAACAGATAATTTTCACCTTCACATTATTGAGGCAAGTGAACCGGAAAGGGTTAAACGCCCTCGGCACACAAACACCCACCTGTTCCAAATGGACGTGAAGAAAGAGCGCAAGGCACTGAAGCGGAACTCTCCCCCGAGGACCGGGACGCCGGTCAGCTGGTCGTGGGTGGTGCTGTACGAGGTGGTTAGTGGGGACACGTAGATGGGGTAGCCAATGGGCTGGTCGCACGAAGAGTTGATCATGTTGCGCAGCGCCTGCTTGGCGTTCTGAATGCTGCCTCTCTCCGGGTTGCGATTGCGCAGAAATATCAGCTCCTGCTGCTGCCCCGCCCACAGTCCTCGCACGCATTCTCGGTTCACCTAGACACCACGGACAGAAAGTGGTAGAGTTTTACAAACTTATCACAGGTGCCAGGAAAAAAAAAAGGAAGAAAGGTTTCAACTATATTATGTCCACCAGAACACAAAACTTTATCAATGTTTAAGTTTCAGCTTTAGTCTTCGCTCAACCTAAAAAGGCTGGTTGAAAGTCAAAAAGGGAGGAATATGATTGAGTAAAGCTCACTTCAAGAAAACGTACAGAACTGAAGACCACACAGCACTTCAAACAAACAAACATCTAAGCACAGATGTACATATCATGGCTTTGAGAACTGACCAGCTAACCCATAAAATGTCAAAACTTTGTGTATTTGATGAATCGACAGTGTATAATCCATTTCATTTGCTCAGCCTGACATGTGATTAAAAATGCTCCTCAAGCGTTAAAAACAAAGTGCCGCCAAACAAAAATTGTGTATCGAGTAATCACTTACTGAAGATTCACATTGAAGCAAAAAGAAAAAACATAAAACAAAAACAAAACCTCAACACAACCAGCCTCTTACCTTGACCACCCTGAAGTTTAAGTAGCGTTTGTTCAGCATGATAATTTTGTACTCATCAGCTCCCTCGTCAAAAACATGCCTGGGGAGACACAAAACAAATTAGAGGCCACGCGTCAAGACAGATTTCTCACCACCTGAAGACCGAAGTAAATTAGTTTTCCTGACCTCTGGTCTATGAAACACTTAATAGAGCATGTACTTAGTTTGAGTAAGAGTTTTACGGCACTTGCAACACAATAAGGTCATAAAAGTGCCAAAGATTAGAGATGTTACAAGAGAGTAACAAACACAAAAAAAGAGGAGGAGAGATCAGGACAATAGATGTTTGATAGGAAAGAAGGAGCAAACCACGCCAGAGCACCCGCCAACCACCCACAGAGCATGTACAGACTGCTGGAAATACAGTGGAAATTGTCCAAGACACCAGCCATTGTTGAGGAGTATAGTGGTTGTCTTATACAAGTGGGCATCCTTAATATTGTCATTTCCCGCCTACTAAAATTTCCAGTATTCTTCTTTCAATAAATTCTAGTGCACTCAAATTTTTGAAGTAAAAAAAAAAAAAGTAACAATTCAAAACATAGTCACGGTTCACTTCACATCACATAAGATAAACTTTAGCAATATTTCCACAAGCCCTTTGCCTTCACCCAAGACCGAGGACCAGCCTATTTTGCTGGAACTAAAAAAGCACAGAAGGAAAGAAACACAAAAGATCTCTGCAGGCAAATGTTAAGACTGCACTGGGGATAAGATAACATTTTACTGATCTTTATAAAGAGAAATTTGCTGTGGCTTGATAAATACAAGCACATGCATACATCAACACACTCACCACGCACGCACATATGTTACATACACAGACACAAACACGCAAACAGTTATTAGATAATATAACGTATACCAACCGAAGGGCCAACAGAGACGGCACGTTAGATATGACAGCGTTCCGCCAGGCGGGGTCGGCCTCGTGGGATATCACCATGGTTCTCTCATTGTCCGTGATGGCGTCGTACAGAACCTGGCAGTCGCAGTACTCATCCGGAGCTGTAAAATGATGCTGAAAACACAAGACGTGGAAAACATGATATTTCCATGAACAGCACAAGTCTGAAGGCTGGTAACCCTTCGTTCTGTGAGAAAAATATTACACAGAATTTCAATTACTCATTTTAAGAACTTTCTGGCTCCATTATGCAGTTAGCAAAAATAACAGAGAACTACTCAACAAAAATAGACACAAGAAAAAAAATTGAGTTGAAAAACAAAAACAAAACATTTTTCCTGCTCCACTACAACCAAACACATTGTCAGTGTCAATCCAATAGTGCCCTGGTCAGTTGTTCAAGTTTTGAGAAAAATCAGAAAGAGAGCACCCAAATCAATATTATATCATCACTTCGGCACTCGTTATTTTTTCAATTGAAAACAAGGAAGGAAATAACAAAAACCGGACCAAAAAAAACCTCACGTAAGATGCCACTTTGGTTCTTTATTCAAAGAACAGTTCCATCTGGAAACTCCCAGAAATTGACTGGGCGATCATGGAAAGACACAGATGACACGTGTGTGTTTCTGAACCTCTCCTCCCACCCCACCCCCTCACCAGATGACACGTGTGTGTTTCTAAACCTCTCCTCCCACCCCCACCCCTGATGACACGTGTGTGTTTCTAAACCTCTCCCCCACCCCCTCACCAGATGACACGTGTTTCTAAACCTCTCCTCCCACCCCCACGCCCTCACCTGGTGCAGCTTGAGCGACATCCTTACGGCCGGGGCCACCACACGCCGCATCATGTCCATGTCGGCAAACACCCACTCGTCGCGCTGCGACTGGATGCGGAAGTCGCCCTTGAACAGAGCATGGAGGCCGCACAGGAAGTAGTCCACACTGAAACAGGTAATAAAAACCAAAAACAATTTGATTAGTTAGTTTTATTAGTTTTAGTGAGAGTTTTACGGCACTTGCAACACAATAAGGTCATATAAGCGCCGAAGATTAGTTTTAGTTTTTTAGTAAGTGTTTTATGGCACTTGCAACACAATAAGGTCAAATAAGTGCCGAAGATTAGAGGTGTTACAAGAGAGTAACAAACATTTTTAAAAAGAAGGAGAAGAGATCAGAACGATAGATGTTTGGTAGAAAAGAAGGAGCAAACCACACCAGAGCACCCGCCAACCACCCACTTTGGTACGTTAGATGACATTGTCAAAGATAATCCTGCTGGTGTCAGGTCTGGAGCAGACATTGACGATGATGGTAACCTACTTCTTCCTGTTGTCTGTCTTCCTGGTCAGCTCCTTTTTTTCTTCTCTCAGCATGTTGTTTGTCGCAAAAGATTAGGTTTTTATCATTCTACCCATTGGAAGAAAAGCGAGGTTTACTTTAAAAACTTTCAACAATAGAAAAATGGTTGAGAAAGTATTTTTTTTACATTCTGATCCTCCGTTTTGGAATGTCAGAGATTGGTAATCGTATACACGTACACCTATCAGGTTAGACAATTTGTCTGACTTAAACTTCCTAGACCTGAAGTTATCATAATCATGTCACCCTCATCCACAGCATCAAGAGGAAGACCATTTACAGGATCACAGCCAAGACTTTCAACAACTCCCTACATAAATAAAGTCAAACCTGCTCTAATGACCACACATGAAACACAACCACCTTTACATTATTATTGTTTATGCTACTGTTCATTTATATTATGCATGTGACTGTAAACCTGCGTGTGTGTGCATGTTCCAGAGTGTGTGTGTGAACGTGTGTGAGTGTGTGTATGTGTGTACGTGGTGAAACACCAAACCAACCAATGTGCCAGGATCTCGACAATAAAGATGTATCTTATCTTATCTGTACAAATGACATTCCAACTTCCCACTTCCACGCTTGCATTTTTGTACCCATCATAACTCCCTTGTCCAGGATCCAAGACATCCACCTGTCTAAGACAACCACTTTTCTCCTTGACAATGGGTGGCTGTCTTAGACAATTGCAATGTTTGGTGTGTCCCGCACGCTCACATAACTTTGTGCAGTAGCGAGCGCCGTAAAACACTTACCAACCCCCCCCC